AAATCATCTCTTTAACTGTATTTGTTGTAATCGTTATCTCAAGTTCGATGGGATAGATACGTTCAACATAGTCACTAAATTTTAAATTATTTAGTGAAAGAACAGCATCTATATAGCCGGAGGTAAATTTAAAGGATACTACTAACTTATTTTCCTTCTTCCTAAGAAGTTTCTGTATGAAGTCAGCTTCATATGAATAAGTAACAAGTCGGCAAAAAAGCGGTATAATTGATTCCCATGGTAATGCCGATTGTTTGTTGAAAAACACGTACTCCAAACGTAACACATATGTTGTCAATCAAGAAATCAATCATCTTGGTAATGTCAGTTTCAGAAAACTTTTTGTTTGAATCAGAGTGATATTTTACAAAGAAGGATATATTCCTCCCTCTGACAAGATACTTGTATCTATGTTGGTAATTCGATTTTATGAAACGAAGCAGGACCAGCTCTTAATTTGTCATTTAGTTTGAAATGGGGAGTACCTGTGTAAAGTGTAGAAAAGTCAAATGTTTTAATACTATTGAAAGAGTCTTAGATTGTATGTATTCAACTGATTTCTAACCGGTGTTATACCGGTGAATTTCAATCAACACGATATCTGTATTTGTATGCAAGTACCAAAGTACTGGCTTCTGTGCTGATGATACCCTTTAGAACTGATAGTCCATCATTAGAAGTATCGATTCAGGGGTAGTAAAAACATAACAATACAGTGGTATAACAACGATAGGCTACGTCTTACCTCAATATCCCAAACCTACTACACACTGTCAGTGGTGTAACAACTATATGCTACGTCTTACCTCAATTTCCCCGAACCTACGACACACTATAAGTGGTGCAACAACTATTATAAGCTACGTCTAACCTAAAGCTCCCAAACTTACGACAAATGGTCAGTGGTGTCACAACTATAGGCTACGTCTAACCTCAATCACCCAAACATACGACACACTGTCAATGGTTTTACAACTATAGGCTGCGTCTAACCTCAATCTCCCAAACATACAACACACTGTCAATGGTTTTACAACTATAACTGCGTCTAACCTCAATCTCCCAAACATACAACACACTGTCAATGTTTTTACAACTATATGCTGCGTCTAACTTCAATTACCCAAACATACGACAAACTGTCAATGGTTTAACATCTATAAGCTGCGTCTAACCTCAATCTCCCAAATTTACGACATAATACCGGGTAACTCTTTAAACATTTCTAAGATCAGTTTTCATTGTGCCTCGATACAGTGATATTTCTCACTGTTCCTCGGTACAACATACCTCTCTCATTATGTATGATCGTGGAAACAGAAAAAGCGGTGATAATAACTGGACATTGCCTAATCTATCTTTCTTCTACCTAAATGAGAAAATATTGCTGTGTTTAAACAAAACGAAGATCAGTCACCACTTTGTCTCAGTGAGACCTATCCTTCTCATCTGTGTGATATTTTTCTGAGTGGGTAGCCAACTTTACCTGTTCATTACAAACTATATACCCTCAACGCATTTGTCGCTCGACAACCAAGCTAACGCGTGAATAGGCTAGTATTTTGATTTTTATGAAATCAATATGGACTTACTTATACCACAGTTTAGCAGTATATATCCAAATATTCAAAGATATTTCCTATCTTCATTAATACGAACAAGTTGTTTATTTACACACTCTATCATGCCTGATCTCTACATTCTATTGTAAGAGATCATGTCTCGTGGCAACAGACACAGTGGTTGCGATCTCCACAATTAAGTTGTAACTGAATGCTATTTTGTATTTAAAGGCACAAGAATGTGTATATACAGATTTATATTTGAATATTCAGTATGAAAATGTTACTGTTTTTCTTGAAATTAGGAAAAAATAAACCAAGTATTCTGTCTTACTGAAATATTTAATATAGTGCAAAAATATATATTCATTTTTTTTACAATAACTATAAATGAGTTATCTCTGTATTATTGAAAAAATTGAAACAACTAAAAAGGGGAGACTATCACAACAACCTCCAAAAATGTTTAAATGTTTAACATAGAGAGAACAGAATTCAAATATACGTTCAGTTCTCAAGATCAAGAAATTAAATTTAAACATAAATGGGAGTCCCTAGTACAATGCATTTCATTTTCTTTTCATTTTTTGTCAAAATTGGTAACGAAAATATATGGAATTAATGAAGATCGCTAACAGAGAATTAAAAACGTTTCTTTTTTTAAATCAGCATCTTACATAGTAACTATGCACCTGTCCCTATTTTTTCACGCGGATATGTATAGTTTATAATATGTTATGAGTATTGCGCGTGGTTAAAGACCATACGGTGACGGGGAAGATTTCACATCCTTGTACTAGAGTCTTTCGGTTATTAGCTGTTTAAGGACATTTCTAGATAAATCTACAATATCTGATACCAAGAATCTTTATACCAGACATCACATATAAAGTGATTCACATCATACAAAGAGAGATAATCGTAATATAACATGTATCAAGTATAATCATTAACACGAAAGAAATACTGTTTCGACATTGGAATACCCACTTTTTGTTGGAATATTAATCCAACAAGCTCAACGAATATGTTGCCGTTAAAAATGTTCAGGATTTTTATGATATCATCTTTGCTGTATTTGTGGCTCTTCACAAAGTAAGATTTTTAATGACCTTACACAATTTACATCTACAGTTCTGATTTTTGTAGGATAGGGTACTTTTTAAAGAAGAGATGTAGTCAATCTTTCAATTTTACATGGGGAAAATTATCATAGAATGTTGAAAGTCATAAGATCTGATATCATACAAAAAAAGGATACATGATAATTGTGAATGGCGATTTCGGTGCAGATAATGTTCAAAATCCACATCTGATTGACACCATTGGAAAACTATATATTAACATAATATTTTTAAAGCCTTCTATAGTGTATGAAAATGGTACTAAGAACATTAGAAATTAGTCGAATATCTAGACCTAGTTTGAACAATTAAACATGATTAGAAACAAAACATATGATTAAATAATAATAACTAAAACAATTCTTACAGATTTACGTCAAAGTGGGAGTAATGTTTGGAAAAGAAAGATGCAGGTTGGAAAATTGGCTTTATTCATGAATATTTATTTGTTAGATAAAGACTTTCAACCTACCATTTTGTTTAAATGTCCTTTACCAAGTCAGGAATATGGCAATTGTTATCAAATATTTCGTTTCTATGTGTGTTGGCGTTTGTTTTTGTTGCACTTCGGTGTTGCTGTTGTTCCTTTGTTTTCCTCTTATACTAAGAAGTTGATGTGTTTCCCTCGGATTTATTTTTCCCAATCGATTTATTACTTTTGATCACCGGTATACTACTTTTGCCTTTATTTTAACTATGAAAAAAAATCGAAGGAAGAAAATGTTTAATCGTCTTTAAAACGAGCTCTCGTTCCTTAAAGATATAAAGCGTTAAATAACGACAGATAAATGACAGAAAATACAATATATGTAAAATGATTTGCCTCAAAATGTGAAAAAATCAGAAAATTATTAATGAACTGTATAGAAGTAAACTCATCATAGATACCAGGATTGAAAATTTTGTATTTGCGCCAGACGCGCATTTCGTCTACAAAAGACCCACCAGTGACACTCAAATTAAAAAAAGTTAAAAAGGCCAAAATAAAGTACGAACCTGAAGAGCATTCAATTCGAGGACCAAAAATTTCTAAAAAAATTGCCTAATACAGCTAAGGTAATCTATTCCTGAGGTAGAAAAGCCTTACTATTTCAAAAATTAAAAGTTTTGTAAACAGTTAATACATAATTATGACCATACCAATCATAGTTCATGTCAACAAAGAAATACTGACTACTGGGCTGGTGATACCCTCGGGATTATTCAACCAACAGTGGCATCGACCCAGTGGTTGTTAACAAAACTCGTCATAGATACCAGGATTGAAATTTGGTATTTGCGCCAGATGCGCGTTTCGTCTACAAAAGACTCCTCAGCAACGCTCGAATAAAAAAGTTTAAAAGGCCAAATAAAGTACGAAGATGAAGAGCATTGAGGACCAAAAATTCCTAAAAGTTTTGCCAAATAGAGCTTAGGTAATCTATTCCTGAGGTAGAAAATCCTATATAAGTATTTCAAAAATTTAAAGTTTTGTAAACAGTTAATTCATAATTATAAAATAACAATGATAATTCTTGTCCACACAGAAGTGCTGACTACTATAGAAGAACGCTTATCAAATTCATGTATTTGCCAAATATAGATAGATTGATATGATCGGTGGTAAAATTGTGCAAATGAGATTATTGGTACATATTTGGAGACTTTATCTATTTACCTTTTAAATAATTAGAAATGATTACGTCATAACTTGAACACTGTGAATAAAGATACTCATTTTATGTGTTCATAGTTCATTTTAAGGAGAGAGAGAGAAAACAATATATAACTTGAGACAGATTGTTTTGAAATGTTAATTTGTGTTATTCATACAACGATGGTCTATTCGTATACATCGTATACATGCCAGGAACGGCATCTGTAATGTTTTAATAAAGTATTTTGTTATGTGCTATTCTATTCAACTAAATGGAAAATCTTTTTCATTAAAATCATTGAAGAGTAATTTTGCAGTTATGATAAGTTCAATTTCTACAATTTTTACTATAACAACAGTTTCATTCAATAGATTTTTATAAAAATTGCAGGGTATAATGTTTTTCGAAAGGACTTGCACTATTTGTTTTTCTTACTAAAAACTGCGACGTAAAAAAGGATTTAATTTGTTTACCATATATTTACATTTACTAGTTGATTGTAAAAATCTATATTTCGTATCATATTTCAACAGTAATAGACATTTAGGTGATCATTGGAGCATTACATTTCGTCAAGGTAAACATTTCATATATAACGTTTATTCTACATATTTTACCTGAAGTAAATAATAAATCTCTTTTTTCACCAGTCAATCGTTTTACCTGTAAATCAAAATACATATGCACAATTTTGATTGCCAGTTGATATATATAAATAAGAATATACCCTTAGGCTAAGAAAACCTGTTTACAGAGTTAATTTCTAATTTTAAATTTGATTGTCAATTGATACAACTTTAATTTTGTATCTTTACCTTCAATCCTTTAATACAATGATGATCGCCCTACTAACCGCGACCGTTAAGTTTCAATGCTCCTTTGTGATTCACACCTGTATAATTTTGTTTTGACTCAACACTCCTACCATCAAAGTTAAGGATACTTTGTGTTGTACATTTATTTCTGAAAGTAAACATCTTAAGGTAGGTCTTATAAGTTTTACTATGAAATAGATAAATAAGTTTTATATAAAACATAGCAGTTTATCTGTAAAGCATTGCATTGATGACGATCTTTATAGTATCTTTACATGGATTATGTTCCTCTTATCTTACAAGACTGGGCGTGAACTACTTATGCTTCAATACTCTATTTCTGAAATTAATTTTAACATAACTTTTGATTTTTTAACCCTGTATACCAACATTCCCCATGTGAAATTATAAAATTGTTTTGAATAAACATTGAATGACAAACTTTTTTCTTATGTGACGTTTACATTTTCTGACGTCAGACACGCGAAGCAATGAATGTGGTTTTTAATTTGATAGATGCTTTTGTGCTTTTTTTGTAAATAATTGTTTGTTTTGATATTGTAACACAGTGATGACTGCTGTACCCATATTTTGACTATTTTATTTATAATGTCTGTTTTGTTCACGCATCGTTGTAAATATAACGGAATTTGATAAGACTGTCGTACAAGTGAGAGGTTTAGCGCTATAAAACCAGGTTCAATCCACCATTTTCTACATTTGAAAATGCCTGTACCAAGTCAGGAATATGACAGTTGTTGTCCATTCGTTTGATGTGTTTTGTCATTTGATTTTGCCATGTGATTAGGGACTTTCCGATTGAATTTTCCTCGGAGTTCAGTATTTTTGTGAATTTACTTCTCACGTACATGAATACCTTATATACTATTATCATCTGTACAGTTTTCTGTATTTGTGTTTACGAATGGAGTACTAAATTTCCCAAAAAGGTATGATCTATACCTTGTTATGCCTAGTTTTGACAATGAAATATTTTAAGTATATAGTCAAATTTGTGTGAATATCCCTTTTCTAAAAGATTTTGTAATATTCTCAGTTTATATTTGGTAACTTGATTTGTCTCATCCAATTTGATTTATGCGATTCAAAAATCGAAATACTACTGTCAATGATTATGTGCAATGCCTATAGGACAAAGTGTATCATGCATGTGTCAATGATTATGTGCAATGCCTATAAGACAAAGTGTATCATACATGTGTCAATGTTTATGTGCAATGCCTATAGGACAAAGTGTATCATACATGTGTCAATGGTTAAGTGCAATGCCTATAGGACAAAGTGTATCATACATGTGTCAATGGTTATGTGCAATACCTATAGGACAAAGTGTATCATACATGTGTCAATGGTTAAGTGCAATGCCTATAGGACAAAGTGTATCATACATGCGTCAATGATTATGTTCAATGCCTATAGGACAAACTGTATCATACATGTGTCAATGGTTATGTGCAATGCCTATAGGACGAAGTGTATCATAAATGTGTCAATGTTTAAGTGCAATGCCTATAGGACAAAGTGTATCATACATGTGTCAATGATTATGTTCAATGCCTATAGGACAAAGTGTATCATACATGTGTCAATGATTATGTTCAATGCCTATAGGACAAAGTGTATCATACATGTGTCAATGGTTATGTGCAATGCTTATAGGACAAAGTGTATCATACATGTGTCAATGATTAAGTGCAATGCCTCTAGGACAAAGTGTATCATACATGTTTCAATGGTTAAGTGCAATGCCTATAGGACAAAGTGTATCATACATGTGTCAATGGTAAGTGCAATGCCTATAGGCCAAGTGTATCATACATGTGTCAATGTTTAAGTACAATGCCTATAGAACAAAGTGTATCATACATGTGTAAATGATTAAGTGCAATACCTATAGGACGAAGTGTATCATACATGTGTCAATGATTAAGTGCAATGCCTAAAGGACAAAGCCTATAGGACAAAGTGTATCATACATGTGTCAATGGTTAAGTGCAATGCCTATAGGACAGAGTGTATCATACATGTGTCAATGATTATGTGCAATGCCTATAGGACAAAGTGTATCATACATGTGTCAATGATTAAGTGCAATGCCTATAGGACAAAGTGTATCATACATGTGTCAATGGTTAAGTGCAATGCCTATAGGACAAAGTGTATCATACATGTGTTAATGGTTAAGTGCAATGCCTATAGGACAAAGTGTTTCATACATGTGTCAATGGTTAAGTACTATGCCTATAGGACAAAGTGTATCATACATGTGTTAATGGTTAAGTGCAATGCCTATAGGACAAAGTGTTTCATACATGTGTCAATGGTTAAGTACTATGCCTATAGGACAAAGTGTATCATACATGTGTCAATGATTAAGTGCAATGCCTAAAGGACAAAACCTATAGGACAAAGTGTATCATCGTTTGTCAATGGTTAAGTGCAATGCCTATAGGACAAAGTGTATCATACATGTGTTAATGGTTAAGTGCAATGCCTTTAGGACAAAGTGTATCATACATGTGTCAATGGTTAAGTGCAATGCCTTTAGGACAAAGTGTATCATACATGTGTCAATGGTTAAGTGCAATGCCTTTAGGACAAAGTGTTTCATACATGTGTCAATGGTTATGTGCAATGCCTATAGGACAAAGTGTATCATACATGTGTCAATGGTTAAGTGCAATGCCTATAGGACAAAGTGTATCATACATGTGTCGATGATTACGTCAATGCCTATATGACAAAGTGCATCATACATGTGTCAATGATTACATGCAATGCCTATAGGACAAAGTGTATCATACATGTGTCAATGATTATGTGCAATGCCTTTATAATATTTACATGGCGAGTCCCAACGAAGCACAATATACGCTATATGATGAGCAAGAATAACTCAATAGCCATTGTAAACACGTTAGACAATGATGAATATCTGCTTTTGTCAAGTGACATTGTTACATATGTATGTGATTTCAATTCTCGTTCTTTACGACTTGTAACCGAATGGGAAATTTCGTCGGATATCCTATATATGACGGATGGTGATAGTGGATATAGTGATTAAGATTATAACACAATGTTGACATTTTCCTTTTATGTCTGGTACCCCTTTTTGATATTTTTACCTATTATGTTTGTTTGGTTTGTTCACACATCGTTGTCAATATAATGTAATTTGATGCGACTGTCATACAAGTGAGAGGTTTAGCTAGCTATAAACCAGGTTCAATCCAACATTTTCTGTATAAGAAAATGTCTGTACCAAGTCAGGAATATGACAGTTGTTATCCATTCGTTTGATGTCTTTGAGCTTTTGATTTTGCCATTTGATTTTGGACTTTCCGATTTGCTTTTTCCTCGGAGTTCAGTATTTTTGTGATTTTACTTTTTCAGGCACGTCTCATTCACCAACCATTCTCAAAAACACTTAAAATCGAGCAAGCTTATTTTGCGTTATTTGTTATTCATTTTTCTATGTAGTGTTTAAAAAAAAGCTTTGCTTTTCTTTCTGTCCTCTTACAGTTCAGTTTTGGACGATTAAATATAATTTCTTGAAGTTGTTTGTTTGTTTACACTTAATTATAAATAAGAGAATCACTATCAAATCTCTATATTAGCTTTTCATATGATGTAGACAGCTTGGTATTTTATTGAATTAACTCCTTAAATTATTTCATCCCGCATTCTCGTAACTGTGTTGATGGTCTCGCTTTACTTCTAAGACTAAATGGTTGTCCATTTGATTTGGGTTAAGTAACATGAAATATTGAAACCTAAATAGTTGGATATGTAATATCACTGTGATCTTAATATTTTGACAATCGTAGATGCACTCCTAACAACGCAAAAAAAACCAGCTCATCCAGCAAGAGAAGGATAAAATGTTACAGAAATTACTTGCAAAAATGTTTCTGGTGACTTTTAAACTATTTCTTTTGTTTGATGTGCTTTAGCTTTTGATGTTGCCCTTTGTATAGAGACTTTCCGCTTTGAATTTTCCCCCGAGTTCAGTATTTTTGTGATTCTACTTTTTTCTTAGATTGCAATGGTCCAACGTATGTTATACCAGACCTGTCATGTTCCTGGTTTTTTTTTTTAAACATTTTCTCGAGGGTACCGGGTATGAGTGAGAGTCGTATGACGGGTAATACATCCATACGCAACAGGAATGCATATACCCCTTTCAAGGCACATAGTTTCACTTCGGTTTGTGTGTGAATGTATATATAATTTCGCTTGTTTCACTTATATATGTACGTACATGCCTTTAAGGACATACATACTAACTATGAGTCACAAACATTTATGTGGGTTTTTTTTCCAACAACCAACAATTTATATTTTCAAATATAGCAAGAATTGATACTTGATAAAATATATCATTAGTTTTATGTTTGACTCTCTTTTAGGTTAAAATGGTTACAAAATTATTGCTGTTAGTTGGATTAATTTCCATGGTTACCTCTGAGGAATATACATGGATGTCTAATGCCCTATTTGGATCGTCACTTGAGCTTTCCTGTAATGACTCCCGCGTAATGATCCAAGCAGACGACAAAATTTCATGGAAAACCCCGGATGGAAAGGTTGTGACCGATGCATATAATGATTCTGACTATAAGGTCAAAGGAGTTCAGGGAGAAATACTTCTCATAGACAATATCATGTTCGCCAACATGGGGATATATACATGTATATTGTCCAAGTCTTCCGATGGAATGGCACGTGCCTATCTGTTACGTGGAGTTAATCTAGATGGTCCACAATTCGCTAACTTAAATGAAAAATATGAAGAAAACATCACAGTTGCCGTCATTGCTTCGTTAGTGTTTGCTGTGCCATTGGTAGGACTATTGGCTCTCGAGAAATTCCGATATGAAAAACGGAACGAAGACAAACCAGGACAAGCCTACATCGTGCATCCCGAGAGGAAAACTCCACCGCAAGTGGTTGTTACTGCCTACGATAATCCGGCGTGTGATAACCAAGTAGATGATTTTTCAACACAGCTGTAAAGTTACACTTCTCAAAAACTAGCTTAAAATTATTAATATGTTTGTTTTACATATGCATACACAATTTGTTATTCTCATACCTATACATGTATTATCATAATGTATATTTTTGTATTCCTTCACGACTACATGTATTTAATTGAGGGATATGCAAAATGCATGTGCGTGAGAGAGGGACTATTCATGTCGATTGTAAGAATATAATCCATTTCAATTGTATCCATGTTTTTAGTATATTTCTCAATAAATAATAGTTTTAACCTTTTGCTGTTAAACTGTAAAACCTTAAAGAAAAAACATATCGTTGAGTTCCATAGTTCCTTTAATGTGACAATAATTTATCATTCTAAAACCGAACTCCGGGGAAAATTCAAACCGAAAAGTCGATTATCAAATGGCAAAATCAAAAGACGAATCGATAACAACTGTCATATTCCTTACTTGGTACAGGCATTTTCTTATGTTCTTTAAATGGTGGATTAAACCTAGTTTCAAACGCATGTATTCGACTGTTGGTGGTATATCGTTGATTGTTGTTTAATAATTTCACAACTTTTATAAACTGGGGGTGATATAAGAGAGTTGACATATTGCAAAGATTATTCTTAAGTATTGTAAAAGACTTAGGTTGCTCTCTAGAAGAGGTATACGTCAATTTCAATCCTGGTATCTATGATGAGTTAATTCACATCTCCTTTTATTCATATTACAAGCGTTAAGCACACAATAATCAATCATCAATCTGCTGATGAAATAACATCCTACGGATATTACAATGGATATAACAAACCATACGTATTTCAGTTACTACAAAATCTTAACGGGTCCAACTTCGCGTCTGTTAATTTGAATATGACAGTTTTTATCCATTCGTTTGATGTGTTTGAGCTTTACTAAGTCAGTAATATGACAGTTGTTATCCATATGTTTGATGTGTTTGAGCATTTAATTTTGTCTTTTGGTATTTAGTTGTGTTATTATCAAGTGTCAAGGGATTTTGTGTGATGTGTTCTATAGTCTTTTAGTAGTTGTGAAATTATGTTAGCATTTTGCGGATTGTATCAATACATCTATTCCTGTATTTCCATTTATGTGAACAGAGTTTGTCTCTTGTGCTGTTTAGTGTTTTTTTTTTAATGTGATTGAGGTGTTTGCTCTCTCATACGCAAAGTGATATGTTGCTGTGTTGATTTATTTGTTTTATGCCACTTTCAGCACTTTTGTGCAATTTCATGGAGGAGTTTTCATTGGTGGAGGATGCCAGAGCGAAACACCAATCTTCTGTAGGAAAACTGACAATTCTTTTCAATTATGATTGGAGTAGAGCGCATCTGTCAAGTGCGGGATTCAAACTAGCTAGTGAGTTATTTGACTACCAAGACCACTCAGCCACCCAGATCCCTGTCGTGTTGAGTTGTTCATGTGGTTGAGGAAGTACAGTAATATGTTAATATGTTTATACCATACGATTCCCTGTGGCTGGGATATATGCTTTGCAGTATAGGGACCATAGAGAGTTCAAATATGATTTAATTTTGTCCTTTGATTAGGGACTTTCCTTTTTGAATTTTCCTCGGAGTTCAGTATTTTTGTGATTTTACTTTTTGTTATTTACTTTTTGTGTTAAGTGTCAAGCTGATGATTCAAGTCATTTCCATGTTCCAACTCATTTCTCGTTCTTTCAAATGATGTGCTGTTAAAAAGATGGTAGGATTGAGCGTTAACAAAAATTTGTAATCCTACAACTTTCTTTAAATGGTGATCACTAGCTACGAACCTGTAGTTACGTGGCTGTCTGCCATACATTTTATATTGTTATTACCTTTATTCATGTTGTTGGTTCATCTTTTGTACTGTTCAACAACTTAATATCCAGAGTTTACTTACTAAACTGTATTGGTATTGTTTGTTGTTGGATGCTGTGTAGTGATAGTGACATGTCGTTGATAACATCCATGTTATTTGGTCTTTGGTAGATAGCTGTGTAATAATAAAAGTGTGTAGGCTCTTTGTTTCATATATTCTATGATCTTTTGGTAGTAAGTTGTGTCATCATCATGTGTGTATACATTTTGTGCCAAGCATTCTATGGTCTTTTGGCAGAGTTGTGTTACTATATATAAAGTATGTGTGAGCATTTCATTTCATACATTCTATAATCGTTTGGTTGGGTTGTGCAATTATAAAGTATGTGTGGGGATTTGATGTCGTACATTCTATAATCTTTTGGTAGAGTTGTGCAATTATAAAGTATGTGTGGGGATTTGATGTCGTGCATTCTATAATCTTTTGGTAGAGTTGTGTAATTATAAAGTTTGTGTAGAGATTTTATGTCGTACATTCTATAATCTTTTGGTAGAGTTGTGTAATTATAAAGTATGGGTAGGGATTTTGTGTCGTACATTCTATAATCTTTTGGTAGAGTTGTGTAATTATAAAGTTTGTGTAGAGATTTTGTGTCGTACATTCTATAATCTTTTGGTAGAGTTGTGTAATTATAAAGTTTGTGTAGAGATTTTGTGTCGTACATTCTATAATCTTTTGGTAAAGTTGTGTAATTATAAAGTATGGGTAGGGATTTTGTGTCGTACATTCTATAATCTTTTGGTAGAGTTGTGTAATTATAAAGTTTGGGTAGGGATTTTGTGTCGTACATTCTATAATCTTTTGGTAGAGAGTTGTGTAATTATAAAGTGTGTGATTGCATGGATTTCGTGCCATATATTCTATGGTCTTTTGGTAGAGTTTTGTGATATCATTAAGTGTTTGTATGCATTTTGTGGCACGCATTCTAGTCTTTTGGTATTTAGTTGTGTTATTATCAAATGTCAAGGGATTTTGTGTCGTGTGTTCTATAGTCTTTTAGTAGTTGTGAAATTATGTTAGCATTTTGCGGATTGTATCAATACATCTATTCCTGTATTTCCATTTATATGAACAGAGTTTGTCTCTTGTGCTGTTTAGTGTTTTTTTTTAATGTGATTGAGGTGTTTGCTCTCTCATACTCAAAGTGATAGTGATATGTTGCTGTGTTGATTTATTTGTTTTATGCCACTTTCCGCACTTTTGTGCAATTTCATGGAGGAGTTTTTATTGGTGGAGGATGCCAGAGCGAAACACCAATCTTCTGTAGGAAAACTGACAATCTTTTCAATTAAGATTGGAGTAGAGCGCATCTGTCAAGTGTGGGATTCAAACTAGCTAGTGAGTTATTTGACTACCAAGACCACTCAGCCACCCAGATCCCTGTCGTGTTGAGTTGTTTATGTGGTTGAGGAAGTACAGTAATATGTTAATATGTTTATACCATACATTTCCCTGTGGCTGGGATATATGCTTTGCAGTATAGGGACCACAGAGAGTTCAAATATGATTAATGTGTATTCTCCCTTATAAGCACAGGTATGGGATATTTATTCTGAGATCTAAAACTTCTCTTATTTTTTTGGTCTATTTTTATCCAGATTGTTTTGCAGTCCATTAGTATTATTGACCTATTCGTACATTGTTTTCCATTCTACCGGTAATTAGCTACCTTGCATCTTGGTGTCTAAATGTTTGCATTGTTCCTCTACTTTAAAGTCGATCATCAGACAATTATGACAGATTTTGTTAGATTTCTCTACTATGCAATTATAGTCTAAAATTTGTTGAAAATGTTTGACACATCCATTTCTGTATTGTTCCAGAAAAAAACCTGAACTTAGAGCCCTCTTAAATTTGGACAGTTCTTCATAAAGTATGTAAATGGAGTACATTGTATATATAAATGCTTTAAATGTTCAGCAAATGATCAATGATGATTATAAATAACACTCCAAGTCATTCATCCCAAAAACTTTTATTTTTGAAATCTTTACTGTCCACTTTTACACTTCTTCCATTGAAACATCTGCATCCATTTTTTTCCACAATGCAATTTGAAAAAAAAATCTTAACACAACAGTTTCCAGAGAACCCTAATAACTTGCATCCTATTTAGGAGATAAGAATAGTGTACATGAAATTTGCAGTCATCAAATGAAAAATTGATGTCAGCAAATCTTCAAACTCAAAACTGCTATCTAAATTCTAATGCAACTGAAAGAAGACACAGTTAACTCGTACCTTTTTTAAATCATAATATGACCTCTTTGCTAGCATTTACAATTTCAGACTATCAATCATGAAATTGATGTCATGAAATTGTGGTATTATGCAATCAAAATGAATGTTACAATTAGTGTTGCATTAGAATTTTGTTCACACTGACAGAGGTAAAACACCTGTCCACTTACACCCACAAACACATATAAAAGTACTCAAAATATTACCTTCTTTATATTTTATCCTATGTCTAGAATTGTCAATCCTTTAATATATATATCTATATACATTGTACATACAATACATGAATGCTTCATAAGCTTTCACAAGATGAAAAAACTGAGTCCAGCTCAAACACTGAACTTACATAAGTTACATATCATATTCAGGGAAATTAAATAGACAATTATATTTGACTAGCCTAGAGACCAGGAGATAGACCAGGGTATATCTTTACCTAAGAGCAACATAACACACCAGGGTATTTCTATACATCAGTACAACATTTATACACAATGGTGTGTAGTTGTCCCAGGGTAGAGTTAAATAATAATATCATCATCACATAAATCCTGAATTTATATATACTGAAAAATTTATTCAATTTGATGTATTTTTGACATCCAGTAATAACATTTTTATACTTTTCTAGACAATATAAAAAGTTATGGAAGCTCAAAATGTATTGGGGAAGATAGATTTACATTTAAGTCTGAGAGAGAGGCCAGACATTCATTTTACAAATGTATATTAAATAAACAAACTTTTCCTTTCAAATTCAAATTTAAGATAAATTTACTCCAAGCGTGAAATCCAACTGCAGAAAATAAGTAATAATGCACAATGAAAGTTTTAGTTAAAATCAATTGATTATGGAAATTTACAAGTATGTGTGGAAAAGGGCACATGTTAAACACACTGCTATACTTATTATTAAACACTAAGGTAATAAATTGACACACTGGAATGTATAATGCAAAGTAATCTATATTATTATATGGTATATAAATAAAACAGTGATGTCTATTTTGGCTACTTTGTGATGTAGGGTTGTTGGTAATGATGATAGTTACAAATAAGAAATTATTAGTGAATTGTAATCCAATGTTAATAAAAAAAATATTAAAACTTGAGATAAAACTAACATTTCAATTAGAGGAAAAGTTACAATTAAGGATCAAATTATGGCTAAGGGCATGTCCATTTCAAAATGTCTGTAATTACAACATTATATAAATAAAACTAATTTTCATGAGTTATACATCCAGTTAAAACATTATATTCAGTAAAATGGTGAAAATTACACAAAATCTTCATTCTTTTAACAAAATTAAACATGTTATGAAATGAAACAAAATGTAAACCCTCACACAGACATATAGAAAAAAAAGTTTTGTCTTTATGTTTAATTTGCAAAATAGCCGTACTGTTGTTGCTATCTTTTTATATTTTTTCTAAATTTTAGCATTACTTTCATATAATGTCACTTACACCAGGTTAAAGTCAAACTGTATCATTAGACCTAAACTAATTTAACATTTTCTTAAAGTCTATTAAAAGAGTCTGAACCAAAAAAATGAGATAAACAATTGTATCCTATTCTTTATATTTTTTGTGAATTTACAGGGTTGTCTTCCTTGTTTACCTCACTACAGAATACAGTAAGAAAATCATGTTCACTCCATTATACAAAAATAATTGATTGATATGACTTATAAATTTTGGATGGTGGAAATGTCTTATGAATACAACTAATTCTTATGAATAAAAATTTGTTTCTATACAACCTGAATCATATTTTTCAAGAAAGTATACTGTTAGTTAAAGGTAGTATATTAATGAATAGATCATGTATATGTGGAAATATCTGCATGTGTATTATTTTCATGGAAAGTGTCTTATTACAAAATTTATCCAAAGCCAACATTTCAGGTATAGAACCACTAATTCAGGCCCGGTCGGAAAGAACATACAAGAAAGTAGTACATATTTTAAACAAAATAGTTCCTACGCATAGCTGTATCTTTGTCAATAGTGGGAATATTTTGGTTGTTTTAGTATCAAATGGAAGCTTGGGGACTTGGGATCACTTTAGAACCCTTGTTTAAAGTTTACTTGAATAATAAAGAAGTATATGAAATTTTAATAGGAGGGCTCATTTGGCCTGTTGTTCAGATCAGAAGTTCCTGTTTTTGTACTATCAAACTTCCGGGAACCAGTACGCTCTAATATGCAATTAAAGATATGTTGATTTTTTCAGCACAAGTCAGGATAAGGTACAGTTTTGACATGAAATAACTGCCACTTTATTTGAACCTAAGATAAAGTAGCCATTAATGCTTGAAATTGCAGAATTTAACATAGAAAGCAATGGGGCTATGAATTAGTGGTTTTATACCTTCACTGTCAATTTAAATACATCGCATAAGGCTGTAAAATGTGAAAAATGAACTCATAAAAGATTTAACTGTCCTTCTAAGGCCAAGACCATGAACAAAACACAACGTGAAATAAACTGATATAAGTTAATGCTGATATTATTGTTATAAATAAATAAATAACTTGTTTCAATGGTATAACATCCCAATGTTAGGCCACACCAAATAATTAAATCTTTTGAAAGACAAAAATGGTGTAAATAACTTTAGAATTAAATCTGTTTTGTGATGAATGGCTATAAAATGATAAAATTTAAAAGTAAAAATATATCTTTTTGTGTCAAAATATAATATTTTATGTGTTATTTAATTTTAAATGAGAAAGAAGATTTTTTATCATAACTGAAAACAAATTAAATATATAGTTTTCCAGTATGAAATCCAGAAAAAAATCTTTCAATTAAAATATCTATGTAATCAATTAAGTGTGAGAAAACACAAAAAAATATTTGGTTCAGCCTTATTTTCCAAGAGGCATTACAAATGTACCCATTCTTACAAATGATATCATTGAGTTTATTCATTATTGTGATTTTTTTATTATCAGGCAAAATGACATCTTAGGAAATGAATGCTCTGTATGAATAGAACAATCATTTCTAATTAATGCATTACCCAATCCCATTACAGTTTAAGAATAATAAAAACCTTACAATTTTTTTTTCAATGTACAGTATTTAAGAAGACAATATGTGAAATGTAGACAAATTTTTCATAAATATATATTCTGAGGAAAATAAAATTGTAAAACAAAATCTAGTACAAGTTATAATACAATTAAAAACATATCTACTGAATTTAAGCAACAGTTTTAACAGTTTCAATACATGAACAAAAAACATATACACGTAGACTTTTTATATAACACAAATAGCAAAATAGAACACAATCAGAACACTGTCTCAGATTGTAATATACCAAATTCCTATGAATATGTACATTAATGTTCATGGCTGATTATTCCCCATTGACTTCAAGGCAGGTATGTGTTTAAGGACAATATGACTTACTGCATTTCATGATCGTTAACTGCAATTAATATTTGGAAAGTGTTTCCAGATATGATGGCAGGAAGAACATTTGTTTTACTCAATAAAAGGTTGTACCTTTTTGATAAGAACATTTGTTTTACTCAATAAAAGGTTTTCCTTGTTGATAAGAACATTTGTTTTACTCAATAAAACGTTGTACCTAGTTGATAAGAACATTTGTTTTACTCAACAAAAGGTTGTGCCTAGTTGAACACAACATGACTGCTAGAAAATGATCTAATCCAACATAAGTAGGTCTTCAGTAAAAGTTGTCATGAGGTAGAATCTGTCAAAGGTCAAGGTAGAGCATTTCATAAAGAAAGCACATTTCTTGTCTTCTTGTCAAAAACGAGTTATTACAGGCCTAAACAGTTATTTTACAAGATTTTATTCAATTTATTTTCATTTGGTAGGGTCATTCTATTGATATCTTCAGGGTGACTAATAATATATAAACTCCTCGAAATTTTGTCTTCACAGGTTGTAAAACTGCAGAGAAAATGATAAAATGGTGTTTTACTCCACATGATTTCTTCACAGTTACCATGTTGGTTGACTGATTACAGAATTTTTAAAAAGTATACGATACTGAACAATTTAATACACTAAAGTGTTCAATTGATGAGAAAAGCAAACTCTAGCACACAAGGTAAAATGAATTTACCAAAAAGGTAAAATGTAATATGCAATTTACGATAACTATATTTATGGTGTCACTCATGCTGTGAGTATTACCTAAGGTAAAACTTATAAAGTTAACATTCTTAACACACATACATCATGATTTAGATGTAAAGCACAAATATAATAACATGTTTTATTATTAATATCACAAATATAAATAATAATCTCTCTACTTAGTTATCTCTTCTTATTCTGGCATCACAAAAAATGCTGACAAAGCAAATATTAAAAATACTACTCCACCAATCAGAGTCACTGCAACAAAGAGAAAACAGTTAATTAAATATATTGCAACAGAAAAGACTAAATCGTATTTGATGTGAACCGATTGATATTTTGTCTTGGATGCTCTATTTTATTATTAGTTGTAATTGGCTTTGAACAAGCTTTCAGTAACTGTGAGTTCTCTCAGATCAGTACTAAGACTTAAAATACTGCACCAATCAAATTAACAGTTACAGAAAAGAAACAGCTCACTTCTAGTATAAACATACTCAATCAAATCAAAGTTACTGTGACTCAAAAATGGTAAAATACAATGTTGTTTCACCTCATTATCAGAAAGTGTTTTTTGTCTCATTGTTTGATACCTAATTGCGTTCTTTTTTCAATTATTTAACAAACATTTACAATTGCTTCTCATTGTGAACACCAAGATTACTTAATTAACTTTCATCCAATCAGATAGTAGATATGATTTTTTATCAAATAATTTTTCAACGCTTACCTGTTCTTACAGATATTTTTTGAGCTACCATTCTTCCTCCTAAAACAGCTATTGCAGTACAAATAAAATGGCCTATACACCCTCCTATTATAACACCAGCTATATTCTACAACAAAACATGTATGTAAAATTATATAAACACCTGATTTCTGTATCAACAGAGGTAGCATTCATTAATACATTGAACCAGAATGATTTAGCATTGTATTTATCACTTGTAGTTTTGCTTTAGACGTCTGTTATACTGTATTCACACCTTCCCTTCATTCACTCAAATAGAATTTTCAATCATAAATTATATTGATTTTTATTGTTATCTCAATATTTGATTTTTGTAACTTATTGGTATCTCAAATTTTGATGAATGGAATGACTTCTGCGACTTATTGCTACCTCAAATTTTGATGAATGGAATGACTTCTGCGACTTATTGCTACCTCAAAGATTGATTAATGGAAAGACTTTTGCTACTTATTGGTATCTCAAATTTTGAAGAATGGAATGATTTTTGTGACTTATAAATATCTCAATATTTCATTAATAGAATGACTTAAGCGACTTATTTGTATCTCTTTTGACTAAAGGAATGATTTTTGTGACTTATTGGTATCTCAACATCTGATTAATGGAATGATTTCTCTGAACAAGTTTACTTCATGAATCAAAAAGATACACTACATGATAAAATCTATTACTGGCTGATCATGAAACAAGACAGACAATTATTTACATACTTATGTTATGAATGTAAGAATGTGATAACACCTAAAAACTACCATTATCTGTAAACTGAAGTATAACACAGTTAGTATGTGGTATAACAAAAATACTCCCCATCATTTTAACATGTTTCTGGTATCTGAGATACGTCATGTTGGGGCATTTTATGGCTTCTTATATCCTGAATGGGTTTTGCTCGTTTTTATATAGATTAGACCGTTGGTTTTTCCGTTTGAATGGTTTTACACTAGTAATTTTTTGGGGCCCTTTATAGCTTGCTGTTCTGTGTGAGCCAATGCTCCGTGTTGAAGGCCGTACCTTGACCTATAATGGTTTACTTTTATAAATTGTAACTTGGATGGAGAGTTGTCTCATTGGCACTCATACCACATCTTCCTATATCTATTTGCTCATTGTTAAATGTCGTATGGTGACCTACATGTATTGTAGCTAACTTTTACATCATTTGGTCTCTGGTGGAGAGTTGTCTCATTGGAAAACATACAACATCTTCTTATTTTTATATTATTGCACATTAAGAAGGCCATGTACCAATCATACAGCTGTAATAATAATCTAAGTAAATTTTTATGCTATTTTGACATCATTTGAATTGACAAACCTTGACCTAAGGGATTGAAACATGAGCCAAGTTAATAAAATATCATTTGCTCATCAGTAATGATTCTGTGAAGTTGCAATTGAACTTAAAAGGTCAGCAGAAAGATAAGACATACATGGTTCATTGGATGTAACCTTGACCGTACAGATATGAGCTTGGGTAATAAATATGTAAAGTGTTATACAGATCCAAATAGTACAATACAAATAGTTTATTTATGTCTCACCATTAATATTACAAAACATAACATAATACATGAATACATAAAATAATATAAAATATTAATGCCATTCTAAAAAGAATTATGAGAGACGGGATTAAAAAAAATAATAATAATAATAAATATCAATGTACAGCTAAATTTGTACAACAAAGAAATGAACATGACACAATAACAATAAAATATTGGCAATGATCATTATCTTCAAGAAATGACTGGTTTAAGGTCATGACATCTCTGTATCATGGGCAGAGATTAATTGAAGCAATATCTAGAAATAAGTATGCAGTTTGTCCTACCCAGATGTTGCTTCACTTCACAATAAATTATAAAGTTGGAAATAAAGTCAGAATTGTAAAAAAAAAAAAAGGACAATTGTATGAAGGAAGATTGATTCATATGAAAGAAGAAACACTACAAAGTTCTAGCAGGAACACACAATAGGAAATAGCGGGAAAGATCATAAGATTCCTGTATACTAACAGCCCTATGATGCCGCTAACTTTACTTTAAATGCTGCCTAATAACATCTCTTACAGGTAAAACTTTATATGTTAATGAATAAATACCTCTCGAGCAGCTAAGACTATTGTTGCTATTTGAGATCTATCACCCCATTCCGCTAAAAAGTTTAATGTAAATGATTGTAAAAATACAGTTCCAACTAATGCATGGAACCATTTGCGACCAGGTGTCCGTATTACTCCAGTCTCTATATCTTGTGTTCCTAGACGATCTTTTTCATACTGCAATGATAAGATATCAAATTATAATAATGTACAATGTACGTTCAATGAAAGTTATTTTATGCATATGGTATAAACTTTAACTGGTATGGTGACTTAGAAAGAAAAATCTTTTTTTGTTTTGTTATCCTTTAGTAGGTTACTAAACAGTATCTTTTACAATATGTGTCAATACTTTCTCTACTCTTTGTAATGTTTGATTGATTGTTGGTTGCTTAACTTCCAGTGGCAAATATTTCATGCATGTTCAAGACGATAAATAAATTGAAAGGCTAATAAAATGCTTCGCTGGGGCGCAGCTTGATACGACCGCAGAGGTCGAACCCTGAACAGTTGGGGCAAGTATGGACACAACATTCAAGCTTGATACAGCTCTGAATTTGGATTGTTATTAAATATTTGACACAGCATAGGTTTCTGACACAGAAAGAATGTGGTCTAAGAACTTGAATTTTTTTAATTTACCTATTATGGTCCAATGTCCAAAATCAAAATACATGGTTAGATTCAGCATATCAAAGAACCCCATATATTCAATTTTTGTTAAAATCAAACAAAGTTTAATTTAGGACCCCAACCTGGACCAACTTGAAAACTGGGCCCATAATCAACAATCTAAACACATGTTTAGATTCAGCATATCAAAGAACCCCAAGAATTCAATTTTTGCTAAAATCAAACTAAGTTTAATTTTGGACCCTTTGGACCTTAATGTAGACCAATTTAAAAAACAGGACTTAAAATTAAAAATCTAAATACACGGTTAGATTTGGAATATCAAAGAACCCCAAGAATTCAATTTTTGATGAAATCAAACAAAGTTTAATTTTGGACCCTTTTGACCTCAATATGAACCAATTTGATAGCGGGGCCCACAAATAAAAAATCTAAATTCATGGTTAGATTCAGCATATCAAAGAACCCCATATATTCAATTTTTGTTGAAATCAAAAAAAGTTTAATTTTGGACCCCAACTTGGACCAACTTGAAAACTGGGCCCATAACAAAAATCTAAACACATGTATAGATTCAGCATATCAAAGAACCCCAAGAATTCAATTTTTGTTAAAATAAAACTAAGTTTAATTTTGGACCCTTTGCACCTCAATGAAGACCAATTTAAAAAACGGGACCCAAATTAAAAATCTAAAAACACAGTTAGATTTGGCATATCAAAGAACCCCAATAATTCAATTTTTGATGAAATCAAACAAAGTTTAATTTTGGACCCTTTTGACCTCAATTTGAACCAATTTGATAGCGGGGCCTACAAATAAAAAATCTAAATACATGGTTAGATTCAGCATATCAAAGAACCTCATATATTCAATTTTTGTTGAAATCAAACAAAGTTTAATTTTGGACCCTAATTTGGACCAACTTGAAAACTGGGCCCATAATCAAAAATTCTAAATACATGGTTAGATTCAGCATATCAAAGAACCCCATATATTCAATTTTTGTTGAAATCAAACAAAGTTTAAATACTGGACCCTATCTTGGACCAACTTGAAAACTGGGCCCATAATCAAAAATCTAAACACATGTTTAGATTCAGCATATCAAAGAACCCCAAGAATTCAATTTTTGTTAAAATCAAACTAAGTTTAATTTTGGACCCTTTGGACCTTAATGTAGACCAATTTAAAAAACAGGACCCAAAATTAAAAATCTAAATACACAGTTAGATTTGGAATATCAAAGAACCCCAATAATTCAATTTTAGATGAAATCAAACAAAGTTTAATTTTGGACCCTTTTGACCTCAATAGGAACCAATTTGATAACAGGGTCCACAAATAAAAAATCTAAATACATGGTTAGATTCAGCATATCAAAGAACCCCATATATTCAATTTTTGTTGAAATCAAACAAAGTTTAATTTTGGACCCCAATTTGGACCAACTTGAAAACTGGACCAAAAATCAAAAATCTAAATACATGTTTAGATTCAGCATATCAAAGAACCTCATATATTAAATTTTTGCTAAAATCAAACAAAGTTTAATTTTGGACCCTTTGGACCTTAATGTAGACCAATTTGAAAACTGGACCCAAAATTAAAAATCTAAATACACTGTTAGAATCGGCATAACAAATAAATAAATGTGATCAAAGATTTTACAAATCTAATGCGCCATACTGTGCAATTAAAGATTACTTCTTGAAATTTTTCAATATTTGAAATTTGAAAAAAAAATAATATTTGAAGAATAATTCTTCTTAATTTCTGAAATCTGAAATGAGAAAAAATTGACCCCCCACAATTTCTTTTTATCCCCCCCCCCCTTTTTTTCCCCAAAAAAATCTTTCCCTCAAGATATGGTCATAATCTCAATTCAAATTTCCAATGGAGTTGGCAACCATAATTACCCATTTAAATTTACCATAGTGCTAACTTAATCTATTTTATAATAGAATTAAAAATATAGTGTCAAATCTTTCATATGGATTTTTTTGTAAAAAAAAAAGATGCAACATTTGCAGATATTTTTACTGGTCTTCCTTTATAAATATGCATTTCTTTAAACATAATTTAAAAGCAGTGTAAGGGAAGTAACCAAAACGTTGTATTTGGATTACCTCCCTTACACTGTTTTAAATTATCTTTATTGTTCATTAACCATTACTTTATACATAATTTAAAAGCAGTGTAAGGGAGATAATTTCAATGATGAATTTGATTTATCTCCCTTACACTGCTTTAAATTATGTTTTGTACTAAAGTATTTGTCCATTAACCAGGACAACCTTGTTTTTCCCCCTTTTTTGCCCCTAATTCCTAAACGGTTTGAGCCATAACCCCCCAAAGCAAATCCTAACATTCCCTTTGTGATATGGAAACTTGTAGTATAATTTCGGAGAGATCCATACACCGTTCCACAGTTATTGTCTGGAAACTAGAAAATGCTTATTTTTGGCCCCTTTTTGTCCCCTTATTCCTTAACTGTTGGTACAATAACCCCCAAAATCAATCCCAACCTTCCTTTTGTGGTATTTAACCTTATGGTCAAATTTCAAAAAGATCCATTCACTTAAACTAAAGTTAGAGTGCGAAAACCAATGTGTCTTCGGACGACGACGCTGGACGACGACGACGACGACGCCAACGTCATACCAATATACGACCACAAAATTTTTTTGCGGTGTATAAAAACTAAATACATAAACTTTATACATCTTTTAGGACTTAATCAACTCATAAATGATGGAAATAGTCATAGTTTATCCAAGGCTTCCAAAACGGTCATATATGCCGGACATTTGTATAATGTCCGGTAAAAGTCCGGCTGGGCAAAGCATGAAACGGTCATCTACATTTTAGTTTTCAAGGCTTTAAGAGATGGTCATTTTAACAGAATTCGCGATATTTTTGACCCAACGTTTTGCCTTTAACAGCCACACATTTCCGGTCATAAAAGTGACATGATCATTAAGTACTATCAAAACAACCCCTACTTTAATACCTTATCATTTTAATCAAGGCTAATTAGTTGTCGAACAGCTGATATTTACCTGTTCAGGTGACAGGTAAACTATTTTGAACCGGACATTGATCGGTCTATTCAAAGTTATTTTCTTACATTTCAGCGGTTTGCATCTAATTAATTAAGTCAAAAAGATTTAAATTATCAGAAATACATTTACAATTATGATTTGATGAAAAAATTAAAAAGGTGAAAATGAAACATCGTCATAACCACGTTGTTTGAACTAGTACACGTGTGCGCAGGTGTGAAATTTAATTATGCATCCTAATTTCTTCAAAAAATGCTTAAATTGTCATTGATACCTTTATCTCATGTTTATTTCGAATATTTTCTTGAAGAAATAACGTAGAAGGAGCTACTTCCACTCATTCATGCTTTGCAAATGTACATGGAATTTACGTATCCGTCTCTGGTCCATGTTTTACCATTGTCAAGATAACATCCGGTAGATTAAAAACGAAAGTAAAGTTTTTGACAACGTTATTTTGCACAAATAAAGAGTCTAAGGCAAATATAAGTACGCTGATGTAATCTATTGTTGCACACTTCGAATGATGCACTGCCAATTTAACAGTTAAGTCAGAACTTCGAATCTGAATCAAAGAAAGTTTAATATCGTTTTTTTTCATGTCAATCATTGGGATGGCCAACTCGGCAACTGATTACCATAATTGCCCTTTGTTTATTTACTCTTAAGGGATTAAAATCGGGATAATATATAAAATGTCAGGCAGGCTAAAAATAATTTTAAGGCCTGAGTTTATCTGAATCAGTTCTTTAGAGCATAAAGATTTATGATAATTTTAGAAATTATTCAGAAACTAGGGTTCCAACTCATGCAGGCAAAATTGATGGATTTTGCTATCCTTTTTGATCACATAGCTCCTCACATACTTATACTTATACATTCTTGACTTTCAGTTTGTTGGATTTGATTATTCCTATCTAGAAAACCAAAATCCCTTTGGAGGTACTTTATCTATAATGTGCTTTTTATAATCTGATAAATTATGGACAAAAGTTTAACTGAATTGTTGAACTACATATCTGTAAAAGGGAAACGACTCTTGTAAATCTTACCTCCTCTTCTTGCTTTTTAATGTCTGCCTGCACTTCTTCCATTTCTTCTTGACCTTCATCAGGGGACATCTCATAACCTGTAAAACACAGAAATTTTATAATCCTATGTCATCAACTCAAAATCAATGGAATAAAAGTAGTTTTTCTAACAGAATTTAAATTGTCAGTAACTGAGAAAAGAATATGAAGTCCACCAAGATTGTTTACCTTATTCATACATTATATCCTGCCAAGTTATCTGACAAATATCTTCTTGAGCCCCATGGTTATTAAAATATTTTTATTATTTTAGATATTTTTGCATGAGATCTTTGGACAATTTATGAATTATTTGATAGAATTCTTTGCCCTTTCTGAGAATTGTAGATACTACCCTGCAGTAGTATTCATTAATGCATATAGGGAGCCTGATCCACGTCTGGGTCTCTATATCCCTAATGCTCCAATAAGTGATTTATTTAATTATAAATTATAATACTGTGAAAGTACTTTTATACATGGGTATCAATTTTCGTGGATTGAGCAAAAGTTACATGTTTGTGGGTTCTTAAATTCATGGATTTTAGTTTTTTCTGACAAAATTTGGATGAAGAGTTTGAACCGATCAGAAACGAAGATTCTTGAAAATAATTATATGGTGTTCACATTCACTTACTTGTTCGTCTTTTGTTACTGACAACATTCATCAAATTTTTAATAAAATAATTGCTTTTGGAAATAAGCCGATTCATCTCTGAATACAAATTGTCTCGATTGAAGGAAATTGCAAAGTAATCATTTTAATTGTTGCACACGCGTAATCAAAAGTAGTGACACTAATTAACCCGAGATGGAATGATCAACAGATTAATGATTATCAAAGGTGTTAATTGGGCAACAGACATGTCACTTAAAGAAAAAGGTCGCATAAAAAATGATACGAATGTACTTTGAAATAATACTTGTGAAATAATACTTATGAAATAAAAAAGCAAGCCCAATATGAAATTATTATATTTTTTCTTGATAGAATTATGAGGAGATAAAATGAACACTTCCATCATGATATATCATCACTGAAAGTCTGACATTCATTTTTAAAAACTAATTTTTCATGAGAATTAAAAGGTTAAAAGTCGTAGAACTTGTCCTGTCTGATGTTGTACATATAGTTCATTGAGTGTTTTCTGATATTCAATGTATTCTCTAGATTAAATGCCTGTATCCATGAAGTAAAACCTACAGGGGATCTCTCCATGCCTTGATTTGGACAACAGTTGTTATATTTCGTTGGACACTTAAATTCGTGGACAAAGCCATCCAAGAAAACCATGAAAATTGGTACACGAATTAAAAGTACTTTCACAGTATGTAAACAAACAATTTCACTGTAATGATATTGGACATGTTTCTATTTTATTTATTGACTGAGCTTCACCATTTGTTGTGTTTTGATGAGAAGACAACCATAGAATAAAGATGTTAAATCTATGGATGTATTTAATGTTTGCTAAGAACTAAATTTCTACAGAATTTCCTTGTGTGAAAAAATGCATTTTAACTTAAAAGATAAAGTGTATCAAAAAGGCCCCTTGGGGCTTTGCTTAATTGGGTAAAATTGAATCTCACAGTGTACCCTGACAATTTCACCACATATGTGAAAATGTCTCAGCTTGGAATTGAGCCATCATACATACCCATGTTCATGGTATAGACAGAGGAATTAGAGAAATATTAATGTTACTGCCTTCATGAAATGAAATGTGCATACTGTTTACATGTGGCCTTCTGCTGTTGTCTGTTCTGTGGTCGGGTTGTTGTCTCTTTGACACATTCCCCATTTCCATTCTCAATTTTATACTGACCCATCTAGCAAAGTGTTCCTCTCAAAGTGGTGCTAGGGTAGCCATCTTGAATATACAATGAAGTCTGAGCTTTTGCTCTGTGTTGAAGGCCTCAATGTGAAATGAAGAACTGCAGTAAAACTTTTCATTTGCTTTTGGTTTTGTCAATAGCAGTTTATGTAATGATTCATTCCACCCTTCCATCAAAGTCTGTTACTTACCTTCCTTAATCATCTTGATACCAAACACTGCAAATAATGCTGATGATGCATAATATGTAAACCATCGTGGAATAATAGTCGTGGCATATCCCATTATAGCTGAAATATAAAACAATACAGAATTTTGGTTAAGGCATATCCCATTTAACAAGTGGAGGCGTTGGTGGAGGACTGGTCTAAGTAGTACATCTACTGTATCTCTAGCCTGTCAACACTGAGGATATGAGGCCAAACCTTGCACATGGCAGGTGAGTTCTTCTCCAATCTTAATTTGTTTAGGATTGTTAGTTTTCCTGCAGAAGGTTGTGGTTCTTTGACACTCCAGCCTCCTCTGACCAATGATATAGCCAATCGTGCTGAAAGTGGTGTTAAGCACCAACAATCAATCAATCATTTAACAAGATATACTATAGCAACAATACTTTGATCAAAAATAAAATGAGTAAGAAAGCTTTCAATTGGGTACTCTTTTATTTTTTTATGCCATGTTTTCTATTCTTTATTTCTTTTATCCATTATTCTCAAAATAAATAATTTTCTAATATCTAAAAAATAAATTAATTTCAGCACTTAAAATATATACATGTATTACAAATTAAACTTTTATTTGGGACTCTCGTCCTATGGTGGCTTATGTGCATGGATTAATGTCTGGGAAGCTAATGTCCTGCTCCCCTGTGACAGAGTTCGATAATAACAGATAAACATACCTGATAAAATGGTCATCAGCCACAATGAGGCTATTGTCTTGCTCCCCTGTGATGGAGTTCAATAATAACAGATAAACATACCTGATAAAATGGTCATCAGCCACAATGAGGCTATTGTCTTGCTCCCCTGTGATAGAGTTCAATAATAACAGATAAACATACCTGATAAAATGGTCATTAGCTACAATGAGGCTATTGTCTTGCTCCCCTGTGACAGAGTTCAATAATAACAGATAAACATACCTGATAAAATGGTCATCAGCCACAATGAGGCTATTGTCTTGCTCCCCTGTGACAGAGTTCAATAATAACAGATAAACATACCTGATAAAATGGTCATCAGCCACAATGAGGCTATTGTCTTGCTCCCCTGTGACAGAGTTCAATAATAACAGATAAACATACCTGATAAAATGGTCATCAGCCACAATGAGGCTATTGTCCTGCTCCCCCGTGATGGAGTTCAATAATAACAGATAAACATACCTGATAAAATGGTCATCAGCCACAATGAGGCTATTGTCTTGCTCCCCTGTGACAGAGTTCAATAATAACAGATAAACATACCTGATAAAATGGTCATTAGCCACAATGAGGCTATTGTCTTGCTACCCTGTGATGGAGTTCAATAATAACAGATAAACATACCTGATAAAATGGTCATCAGCCACAATGAGGCTATTGTCTTGCTCCCCTGTGATGGAGTTCAATAATAACAGATAAACATACCTGATAAAATGGTCATCAGCCACAATGAGGCTATTGTCTTGCTCCCCTGTGATGGAGTTCAATAATAACAGATAAACATACCTGATAAAATGGTCATCAGCCACAATGAAGCTATTGTCTTGCTCCCCTGTGATAGAATTCAATGATAACAGATAAACATACCTGATAAAATGGTCATCAGCCACAATGAGGCTATTGTCTTGCTCCCCTGTGACAGAGTTCAATAATAACAGATGAACATACCTGATAAAATGGTCATCAGCCACAATGAGGCTATTGTCCTGCTCCCCTGTGACAGAGTTCAATAATAACAGATAAACATACCTGATAAAATGGTCATCAGCCACAATGAGGCTATTGTCTTGCTCCCCTGTGATGGAGTTCAATAATAACAGATGAACATACCTGATAAAATGGTCATCAGCCACAATGAGGCTATTGTCCTGCTCCCCCGTGATGGAGTTCAATAATAACAGATAAACATACCTGATAAAATGGTCATCAGCCACAATGAGGCTATTGTCCTGCTCCCCCGTGATGGAGTTCAATAATAACAAATAAACATACCTGATAAAATGGTCATCAGCCACAATGAGGCTATTGTCTTGCTCCCCTGTGACAGAGTTCAATAATAACAGATAAACATACCTTATAAAATGGTCATCAGCCACAATGAGGCTATTGTCTTGCTCCCCTGTGATGGAGTTCAATAATAACAGATGAACATACCTGATAAAATGGTCATCAGCCACAATGAGGCTATTGTCCTGCTCCCCTGTGATGGAGTTCAATAATAACAGATAAACATACCTGATAAAATGGTCATCAGCCACAATGAGGCTATTGTCTTGCTCCCCTGTGACAGAGTTCGATAATAACAGATAAACATACCTGATCAAATGGTCATCAGCCACAATGAGGCTATTGTCTTGCTCCCCTGTGATAGAATTCAATAATAACAGATAAACATACCTGATAAAATGGTCATTAGCCACAATGAGGCTATAGCGCCAGCAAACACAACTGTTCTGGAATGTCTCATTGCCATAATAGCTGCTATGAAAAACGTCTTATCACCAATTTCTGATACAATTATCACAGATAGCGAAGCCAAAAAGGCATGGAGAAATCCCAAGTTTCCACTCTTTTTCCGCAAAGCATGGAACATGGATCCTTCATCAGAGCTTTCTTTTTCATGCTGAAATGTAAAAAAAAACAAAATCATGTTATTATTATTTGTATATCTACATATGACATTGTAAATATCTTTGTCTTAAGGATGTTTGCTCCTCTGTTTAAGAATAACAAGCTTTTCAAAGTGTTATGGAAGAGAATAGACCTGATACTGATCTTTAACTACATTTAAAGGAAACCCCATCATTAGAAAGGCAGTAAAACCTTGAACCATCATCTATTCAGACCAGTGGAAAGCCTACTCTAATATCCAAACGGAACTTCAACTGCAACATGCAACAGTTAACCATTCAGTAAATGTTGTTGACCCTGAAACTGGTGTGCATACCCAAGCAATTGAATCATACTGGGCCAAGGCTAAATACAAGTTCAAGGCTATAAAAGGAGTATCATCTGACCTTCTTACAAACTATCTTGATGAAAAAATGTGGAGAGATCGTAGGGGCTCAAATAAAGATGACATTTTCACCAACATCATGGCCCATGTTTCTGAATAGTATCCCATGTAATTATTTAATTAGTACAATTTAGACAGACAATACATTATTAGTATTTAGTGCTTTTCTAATGAATAACTGTGTTTTATATGGGGACGAAGTCCCCAATTACAGTAGAAAAATCAATAAAAAAAAAAAATTCAATCTACATGTACTAATGAACTCAAAATTGTTAACTTTTTTATTTTCCTGCATCTGCGCAGAAATCTTTTCTGGTATCGTTTATCTCGGGATTTGAGTAAAATATTATGGGGACGTGCCTTATAACATTAAGCAAATCAATAAAACTAAAAATCAATATAAAAATCGACATACTAATGAAATCATAACGTTCCTTCGTTTACATTGAAAATGACGTCACAACTAAAGTCCCTAACACCAGGACCAACATCGGAAACGTTTCCGTATTTCCTTTTCTTTTTTAACAGATTCTGAAGTTAAAATATGCTTGAATTTAAAAAATAATGTATACAGATTTCGTCCCCTTTCACAGGTAACGCCTGCCTCATATTAGTGTTCTAACTTTATCATGTGTATAATAATTCTTTATCCAATGTCATTCATATGTCAATCATTGTTATTAGATTATTAGTATATCATCTATATCATATGAATAAAATATAATTCATCCTGATTCCTACTACTTTCTGTACATAAATTCCTTAACATGATTACAAAAAAGAAACATTTCTTTCTGAAACATCACGAACACTGAAAAAGTTGCTGAAATATACACTTAAAAACGACTTGGACATAGCATACAGTGATACACCTTAAAGTATAGTCGACAATACAACTACAATACTGTTTTTTTTTTAGAAATACAATACTGGTACAAAATTTGTATACCAGTATTGTGCACAATACTAGTATACCAGTATTGCGATCACCAACTACAGATCCGTAGATAGTCAAGAAATTTTGAAGCAATTTACCTCATCAGATTTATCTTTGTTTATTCCTTTGATTACATCTTTTACAATATCTTTTTGATTTTCACATAAAACTTCAACAACAGAGACGCATAATATTGTCCATGTTAAAATAAACAGAAACCGTGTAAACAGTTTCATTTCGTTACTGAAAGTTTAATGTGTAAGAGTTGATAATGGTTTTGATTATTAAAACTATGACTAGAGATCTAGATTCATGGACGATTTAACTTCTCTATAAACTCTTAGAAAACAGCTTAGAATCTGTAATTTTGTTCTCGACAGTTGTCACGTTGACATTTCTGATCTGGCTTGTCAACTTTGAAGGGGACTTCCGGTTAAAAAAAATGTTTTCCGGTTTAAGTATTTTCGTCCTATATTCTTCTCGTCCCTATTTTCCCTTTCGCAAAGACTCGTCGAAAGTCGTCAAAAACAAAGCATCCTACCATGTCTAACAGTTATTTGCTGAAATGTTGTAATTGTTGATATTAATGAGGCTTAAACAGCCTGAAATGCACATGTAAATATATGAAATATGATTTTTTAAGAGAAGAAGAAAACGGAAGTACCTAGTTTCACTTTTAGTTTATTTTGTGCCACGCCCACAGATACATAAATACAAAATGTCGAAGAACGAATGGCCAGAATTAGTTGGGTTGGTACGTTATCCTGTATTTTGTATATTTTCCAGCATGTCTTTTGGTTAAAATAGTTATAATCTTTCGTTTTTTTTTAGTAATCCTATTTCATATGAGAGCTCGTCATGTATGAATATTTCACAAACAACCATAATCTAGATTGCTGCCACCCGTGAACATGCAACCGCGGAGAGGTTTATATGTCACATGAAAATAGAAGGGTGTTCCGGTGATACACATTTTCCATATATTTTTTAATAAACAACCATGTTCAGTCTGTCAAATGAGATATATTCTATCTAATTATATGGAAAGCCTCAGCTGTCATATATTAGAGATTTACAAAACGTTATGATGAAGCTTAAAATGTAAAGTTAAGACAGCGTGATGTTGAATTGAGTCATCAAAATGCTAACTCTAAATTACAATAGGCTAAGTTAAATTTGCGCAATGTTGACTTGCAATGACAAGTGCTTTAGTTGTGATAGTATAATGATAAGTCACGATGTTGTGATGATATGCCAAACACACGTAACGTTGGGTTTGAAGTACATGATGTGAAGTTGACGTTGCATGATGTTAGCTTGCAGATGGATACTGCTCAGTCATCCACTTCGATAGCTATGATAACATATAAAATGAATAGCTAAAATGTATGGTGCTGACTTGTTATTAATAAATGTTGAGCTGAGATAGTACGATGTTATATCATTGTGATATTACGATAGGTCTATCATGCAATCAGTTGATTTAAAACACCATGATGCACAGTTGAAAGTATATGATGTTAAGTTAAGATAACACGATGCTACACCACTATGTTGAAACGAAAGGCTTACCATACAATTTGTTGACTTAAAACAACACGATGCAACGTGTTAAACTATGATGCTCACTTGAAACTACACGACGTACAGTTGAAATTTTGTAATGTTAAGCTACGATAACACGATATTATATCATTATAATGTCACAATAGGCTTATTATACAATTTACTCATTTAAAACTACATAACATACAGTTGAAAGTACGTGATGTTAAGCTAAGATGGCACGTTGTTATATCATTAGAATGTCACGATAGGCTTACCACACGATATGCTCGTTTAAAACTACACGACGTACAGTTGAAAATACGTGATGTTGAGCTATGATAGCAATATCTTATATCATAATAATATCACGATAGGCTTGCCATACAATATGCTCATTTAAAACTACACGACTTACAGTTGAAAGTACGTGTTATTCAGCTAAGATAGCACGATGTTATATCATTATAATGTCACGATAGGCTTATTATACAATATGCTCATTTAAAACTAAACAACGTACAGTTGAAAGTATGTGTTGTTGAGCTATGATAGCACGATGTTATATCATAATAATATCACGATAGGCTTGCCATTAAATATGCCCATTCAAAACTACACGACGTACAGTTGAAAGTACGTGTTGTTGAGCTAAGATAGCACGATGTTATATCATTATGACGTCACGAGACGCTTATCATACAATGTGTTGACTTGAAACTACACGATGTAAATTTGAAGTAACTTGGTCTTGACTTAAACCAGTAAAATGTTAAGTTATAAAAACAGAACGTAAAGTCAAAATAAAACAATGATAGGATGACATATACTTGTGCAGAATTGAAGATTTTTGGTGTTGACTTCGAATATAGTACAAATATTAGATCGTGTTATGTTAAATTGAAAGACAATAACGATGCGTAAAACATTACAGAATTATGTGAATTGAAACTGCAATTCTATGGAAAAGAATGAGGGACAAATCCCCAGGATTTTTTCTTCTTCATTTGCAAGTTGATGAATATTAATAAAATTTAACTCCGGAGGCAAAATGATATACAAAGAAAGTTTTCCATAAATTCATAAAGCAAAACAATTACCCATCGCTATATATTACACTTGAATACAGTTTTGCCGTATATTTTACATGTTTTGTTTGGATTCTTTTTTATGATTAAAAACCATTCTTTTTTTATGAACAATATTTAAGAAAATACTTATCTATGTTGTGTGTTAATATATACAACATAATATTGTGCTTATAAGACTTATGACTGTGAGGGTCAAATTTTACTCATATAAAATCACATCTATGTAAGAGTTAGCGGAGAATTTGTATTTACCAGTCCCGTTTTCCACGAAATAGAACATAAGAATCTGGAGTCTTAATCTTAAAAAACAAAGATCAACTGATATGACAAATAATACGCTTAGCGTAGAACTGAGAGGGTCAGAGCTATATCAGAATGTGCCCCCCTCCCCCACGGTCTTGTTAGAGGTATCTGAAAATTTGAATTTTCTTTTCCACGAAATAAAACAAAAGAACCTGGCCTTAATCAAAAGCGATGCGATTACGATTTCCATAGAATGTCAGAGACAGTTTGTCGACTAGTTCGTTGAAAATTCGGCTGGGCAAGTAAAGTATGTCTTGTAACAAAGCAGTGTTTATTCATATTCATATCACACTTACATGTTCTCGTCCTGATATGCATGTAATATTTGCCACTGTCCTAAAACGCACCCCTTTTCCCCGAAATAAAACCAAAAAATCTGGACTTAATCAAAACCGATGCTATTTGGATTTCCATAGATTGTCAGAGACGGTTTGTCAACTAGTTTGTTAAAAATTTGACTAAGCAAGCAAAATATATCTTGAACAGAACCAAGATTTATTCATATTCATACCACACTTACAAATTCTCTTCCTTATATGCATGCAATATTTGCCACTGTACACTAATTACAAATACATTTTCATCAATTCTTTTTTATGAAAAGGAGCCTATTTGAAACACGTTCATCGATTTGACACCCTGTAATTCATGTCTTTTGGGAGTTCCTCGAAAATTATAACACATTCCTTCTTTATTTGCAAAATCGCCAAGTGACGGGTGCCACATATGAAACAGGATATGCTTACCCTTCTGGAGCACCTGAGATCACCCCTTTTTTGAGGGTGTCGTGTTGCTCAGTATTTGGTTTTCTATATGTTGCGCTTAATATACTGTTCTTTGGCTTTTGATCTTTTTTCTCTCGTTTTTTTCAGCTGATGAGTTTTTGTCATGACATTGTCAGTTTGGTTAAGAGTTTTACTATCCCTTTTGTATCTTTCGCCTTCTTTTATCCATTTTTGTGTATTTTTTTTTCGATTCTCCCCTCCCCCTGAACAGTATAATAGATAGATAAATGAAAACAGAAACCCTTTTCAACAAAAGGAGATCTACAAGTAACTCGACGTGACCGAAATTGTAAATTTCTTCTTCATTAGATATATTGCCCTAAGGGTATTTCGGGTGTCTTCAGCCATCTTAGGGAGCTACCTTTTGATTATTATTGGGGGGCTAGGATGAAATTTGAAAAAAAGGCAGGACAGGAGTTTTGAGTAAAAAAAAAAAGGCAGGATGAGCAACTTGGCAAAAAAAAAGACAGGATGACAATTTATGTAAAAAAAAGTCAGAATAAACTAATAAAAAAATATGCAGGACCCAATAGAGTGAAAAATAAAAAGGCAGGACAGAGATTACAACTAAAAAAAAGGCATGACAAAATTTTTCATCCTAGCCCCCCCCCCCCCCCCCCCCATAAAAATCACATGGTATCTCCCTTAGATTCTCATATAGCTCAACACAATCGGTCTAGATCTAAAAAAATATACACATTTTGAGAGAGGAATGTTATTCATATGTAGTACTTTTCATCTTGATGAAGAAAATTATGAGATTTATCTGATTAAAACGAATATTTTTTTTTTTATACAGAACGTTTTTTGCATATGTTTTTCAACTTTTCCATATAGGGGAGATAACTCGGATAACATTATTTTTTTTAAATTTTTTTATTTTTTTTATTTTTTGCCATGTCATTGTCAGTTTGTTTTCGACTTATGAGTTTGAAATCCCTTTGGCATATTTCGTCTCTAATGATGGAATGTGTAGGGACTTTATCTATTTTGTTTTGTAGACAGAAAACGAGTCTCGTGATCCCAATTTTTATTTTTATTTTCTAACATTGAGTTTTTCATGTATAGTTTATACAATATCTGACAATACTGCATAACCTGTAGCTTGCAAAATGCTCTGTGACCCAAACTTTTTATTATGTTTTTTTAAAAAAGAATCAACTACATTTTGGCAAATCATTAAAAAAAATCTACCGATTTTAATTTAGACTACACTCATGAAAACTATAAGAGAGAGAGAGAGAGAGAGAGAGAGAGAGAGAGAGAGACTGTTGACATCAAAAAAACATATCTACAAATTAATCAAAGCAATACCAAAATAATTCATGGACCTAAACAATTTTTACAGATTTTTTCCTTTTTTCCTTTTTCTTTGAAAACACATATAGATAGAGAGAAGCTGCAAAGAACCAAAAAACCACTATGGACAAGAAAATAAGTGACGGAAATCATTAATTGGCTTGTTATTATAAGTTATAGGGGTCATTGTCCATTAATGACTTTACCAATTTAAAAAAATAAAATATTCTCCGAGTAGATATATACATAAACCTGGGCACTATATTACTTGGTGCTGGAAAAATGGTTGGCACTGCTGTAAATGATGTATTTTTTTTTTTGAAAGTTGACGATTTAGACTGGAGGCTCTAGGTCAAATTTCATTAGGCTTCATAGACTTCATGAATGAGCGAAAAG